TGGCTTTAAATAACCTGCAAAGGGTTGATAAACCATAGAAAATGAATTAATCTATCAATGTGTTATGGTAATTTATCCATGCACGCATGGACACTCCCAGCTATAAATAGGAGCAGGCACTGCCTTTTGGAGAGGGAAGTTTCCAGCAGTCAGCTCTGACAGTCGGACCGAACATTCTTGCTGTAACACTCATTTGTATATGCTTGTATTACTGTTTCTGTTAATATATTTGTTTAACTCAATTCCTCTCTGTGTGTCTTTATTTCTGACCCTAACAAGGCCATAACACAATGAAATACTGATTAGCTATACAGGCATGTCTTTTAGATATCTTTACATTTCTGGAATATAAATGTATAGAAACTGCCATGACCACAAAATGAGGGATCAGTTTATATAGTGATTGTAATAAAGAACTGATCCCCTACTTTATATACACATTAAAATTTGTTTGATTATTAAATTCAGATTAGGTATGAATCCATGTTTTCTCATCCAGCTATGGGTTAATTAGTAATAAATTATTGCTAAATCATTATTACTCCCAACCAAAATATATATTCTTACAATCTAAAATATTTTCTGGCTTTAAATAACCTGCAAAGTGTTGATAAACATAAAAAACCGAATCAATCATATATTTCAGAAGCATACAGCTGTTTGCTTATGATGCTTAACTAAATTATACAAATCTAAAATACAATATGCCTCTATAAACTTCTTACTTTGACTTTTTTGAGTTATTAGTGAGAAAAAAATATCTTCGGTTCCAATTTGAAGAGTCAAAAAATTAATGGCTGATATCAGAATTTTGAATTTAAAAAATAAAATTCATATTCTACCGGATAACAGCCCATACACCTTACCCATTTTTCATTTTATTATAAGATAAAATGTTTTAAGTTTTGGTTAATGAAAGTTTACAGGTTGATTCTTATATTTATAGAAATATAAAATGTGTCTGAGCAGGCATCTGCAACAGGGATTAGGTAGTCACCTTAATATGAAGGTACTCTGAAATGGGCAGCCATCATGATTATTATTGAGTGACAGAGCAGTTAGGCCAAGAAAGTGAGGCTGAAGGTACAAATAATACAAAGCCCAATAATGACAGCCAGTCTAAATTGGGTATATCAGGCACATGCAACACAGCCAAATGTGTACAATACTGTGACAAGTTTTGTTAAAAGCAGTGTATAATATTGTAGTTGAGGTCAGCTTAGAAATACCTTCTGGTTGGAAAACCCAAATCACTCAGACAGTTTTTGATTGAGGGTGTTTACAGGTATCTAGATGTGACTCCTGAATCACCTTGGCTGCCTCATCTTTGAAACTTAAAAACAAATACAACCCTCTCGAACACCCAGTCATAAATTATTATTCCTTCTTTCCTTTGTTGCCATGTGTGATGCATGTTTGGGTGATCATGTGTCGTTTCAATTCATGATTGACTTGGCAGAAAAATTCTCACAGTATACTGCCATTACTTTCTGCAATAGAATAGTTGCCAGATAAGGTTATAGGACCTAGTCTGTCCTGCTATTTACTCCATAGCTGGGGGAAGAAAAAATGGATTCACACCTTTCGAAAGATTATCTGTGCATGTATCACACCACCTGCACATCTAAGCTTACAGCATCCGGTTTTCTCAAGAAGTCACTCATCTAGGTAATGACCAAGCACAATGTTGCTTAACTTTAGATAAAAACTGGTGTTTAAACATGATATGACTGTACATTCACTTGCATGCTAATACCCTTGCGAAAGGTATGAAAATAGCAGAACAGATCGGGTTCTCTAGCCCTGGATGACAACTGGTCTACTGCAGAAAGAAATGGCAACCTACTGCAGGGAAAAAATCTGCCACGTCAGTCATGTATTGAAAGATACATGATCACCTAAGCATGTATCCCGCATGGCACATAACTGACTGACCTGTGACCCCACTTTTCTCCTCTACACACAAACACATGACATTCTCACTACACGACAAGCAGTTTACACCAACAGGCCGTCAACATGTGGGTCAATGAAAATTTTGTCTCCTTTATCTTTTTCAGGCCATAATAACATTTATCTTTTAGCACTCAACAAAATTCAAGGTAAGAAACCCCAGACACTTGTATTTTTCCAACTAAATTATCTGAACACTCGTAATGAGTGTTCAGATAATCTATAAAAAAAATCTAGGAGAAAGACTGTATACACACTTCTTGTCTGGACACTCATCACACACACACACACACACACATATATAAAAAACACATACACAAGAAAGATTGTATACACTATACTTTTTATCATACCATTCTGTTGGATTTTGATCTATATTTGATCTATGTTTGCCCTCAAACTGACAATTTTACTCAGTACTAGCAGTAGAGCCCGGCGTTGCCCGGGGATGTAACAGTAAGAGATAGATCAAGTAGCGACCATCATAAAGACTGAAAAATAAAATTGACAGAGATTATTGTTTAAGGTTGACGGACACGCATGTCTTAATTATTTTTTTTTTGTTTTTTTTACGAATTGGTCAAACCCAAACTCAAACAAAAACATTGTTTTCAATCGTTATGAGTCTACCGATTGAATAGAATTTTATTATAAACAATTGTCTTGTAAATGGAATTATTGAAGCATTCTGAATGTAAAAATAAAGAAAAAAGTGTGCAAGACAATAAGAAACACTACCTGCCAAAAAAAAAAAAAAGTGAAGTTTTGTTGAAATTGGTTGAAAAATGTACGAAATCTGATCCCATATATAAATGAACACATACACACACAAACAACCAACCTGGGTTTTATAATAAGTATAACTCGATATGAGTTGTCCCCCTTTCATTAATATCTCTTAATCGTGTTTTCAAATTGATTTTGTGCAAAAACAATTGTGTTTTTCCAAGTTTTGGTGCTGTCAGAACCACCGCCAGGTAATTTTACGTAGTCCTGTGAAGTTTTGTTGAAATCGGTTGAAAAATGTAGGAAATCCGATCCAATATATAAACGTACAGACACACACACACAATCTGTGTTTTATAATAAGTAAGATTACTATCTCTTGTGTATCCAACACCACATAACAAACAGGTAATAAATAATACTCCTTTTGTTGTTTCTATATCTTGCCATTTCCCATTTTTATGTGTACTTTGTATATATAAATGTTAAGTGGGGGTTATAATTACTTACTCCTGCACCTGTCAGGAAGCAAATTTTTCTTCTGTCAAATTTCTTGATTTCTAGGCCGGTTGATATTAATTTCGCTGTTTAAAATAAGTGGGATGGCATCTCAAACATATGTACCCACTAACATTAATGCTTGACCAATTAGGCCATGTGAAACCATGATAAGGCAAAGAATATAATGGAAATATTGTTTTTCAAAACAGAGAATCAGAAGTCTTACCAGGATTTATTATTTAATTTGAACAATATTAGATATGTATATGATACAGTGTTGATAGCATACACAAAAAGGAAACGATACAAATTCCTACAAAAGATAGAAAAGGGAAGGATAGTAAAAGGCATAGAAAATTTGATATAGACAGGACATATTGAAGGCAAGAGGGACAGAGGAAAGCAGCCTAGAGACCTACCTAATAAGCTTGTGTAAATGATTGACAGAACAACGATTAAGAGAGAGAGAGCAAAAAAACAAACTTTACTAAGGGCGACAAAAGATAGAAAATAGTGAAGAGCCATGATCGCTCACGTCCTGAATGGGACGTAGCACATAGAAGAAGATATTAAAACTAGGATTATTCACATAAATTAACAACTGGTACAATGCTTGATAAAAAAAAGGTGTACCAAAGTGAACATGATCTCGTTGACTTTTGAGATCTGGCCATTTGACAATATGGAAAAATGTGACGCTGCCAGGTCAAGAGGGACAGAGGAAAGCAGCCTAGAAACTCACGTAACAAGCTTGTGTAAATGGTTGGCAGAACAAAGATTAGGAGAGAGAGAGAGAAAAAGACTTTAGTAAGAGCTACAAAGAGAAGAAATTGTGGAGAGCCATGATCACACAGGTCCTGAAGGGACATGGTCTCTTGAGGAAGTAATAAGAAAACCTGAGTTGAGATGTACTGGAGTCTTTATGTAAATACTTCAGTCTATATACAAATACTGGTTGCCTTTATACTTGAGTCAATATGCAAATACTGGTTGTCTTTATACTCTAGACTATAAAATAAATATAAAATAAACATTCATTGGGTTTATACTGGAATGTGGTGAAAATGTGATCTGACGGTGGTCTATTTTGTCAGTGTCGGTTCAAGTTGAAAATGGCGTACTGCTGCCATATATGGGTAGAAGTTGCCCAGTTTTCACTTTCCACTCTCAATAGAGTCCAAAAGCATCTCTATGATCTTGTGGGTGATGAATTATTTTTCATCCTACAACCCCTTTCCCACAGACGAAATGTCACAAGTCTCACTGCTCTATTGCTATTTCCATGGAAAGTGATCAGATGATCAACATTCCTAAGTTCCACCATTTCTAACCTTCACTGCTAAGACACACCATACCACACCCATCCTAGCAAACTACCCCCATTTCCTTTGTATTCCATTGGCGAGAAGTAAAATCCACACAAGCAGCTTATTCTAACAAACTGCTGTCTTGTAGAACTGACTCCCAATTGGATGCTTCCCTGATCACTATGATCTTAGATTGCTCAAATCTAAGGTTAATTATCTTTCGCACATATGTACATAAACTATGCCTTTTACTCTGTAACTTGAGTGGCTCCCGAGCCTTGTATAGGTGAATATGATCCTCACCAAGTCATCCATAGACACAAATCTTTGTGCCAGACCGAGGAAATATTCTTTCATGCTTGTTTTCTGTCTGCTCCATCCATATTAACGGTTAAAATGTACAAGATAATACTGTATGTAATATCTTTTACCATTCCTTTCTAACACTTTTTGCCATTAATTCATCTTGCAAGCGTAAAAGGAAAAAATTCCAAAAAAATTAATAAAACTCACCCATCGGCATCTTGATGATTAATGTTGAATTTAGATTTCGAATTAATGAGTTCTGAAAAAGAAAAAAAAAGGGGTCAGAAATATCTTGGCAGTTTTGAGTTCATTAAAGTTCAAAGGGTAATGACATTTATTGCAGATAAGAGGTTTGGCAAACTCCAGCCCTGGGGGCCCGGTTTCAGCCAATCATCCAAAGAAACTATCTAGCCCTTAGTCTTCAAAAGATATGTAATATCCACTTCAACTGCACAGGTCCTAAAATCCAAGTTTCTAATTATCTAAACTCTGATGATAAAGTGCACAATTTGGACAAGTTTAAATACTTCAGATATAATGTAATATAAATCAAAAACCTGCCGTATTTTCCGGCTTACAAGACACTTTTTTCCCTGAAAAATATGTGTGCATCTTCCAAGACAAATTTAAGGCAATTCTCAGGCTCAAGTAAGCTTGGACTGTCACTTAATTGGCTTGACTGATAGGGATGTGGATTTGTATATTGAGTCATTACACTATAATGTTAGTTATCTAATTCAGCCTTTTATGTGATGTAAGCTCAGTACTTAGCTGTTACAAGTATTTCCAAAACTATAAACCTTCCTGGAGTTGAGCCACAAGCTTAAACATGCTCTGTTTACTAGCAGGAGCCTTTCTGCTCTTGACTAGTATGTTATACAAATAATATCAGATGAGTGATTAATGTAAACAATAGGTGGTGCCAGTATGTGAGGGACACGTGGTGAATGTGTTGTTGTAGGAGAATGACTTTTTTTCTTAAAAATTTCTTTCCAATATTAAGGTGCATCTTCCCAGCTGCAACGTCTTGTAAGCCAGAAAATACGGTATTTGAAAACACACTTGTAAAACATGGTGCTCAAAATATCTTATAACTTACATAAAAAGTAACAACACTTACATATAATTATTCTATCTGTAATACCTGCCTTGATTCTCAATAACTGCAATCCTTTATTGATCATTTTCAATACATTTATTTACTCAAATTATTAACCAAGGTCATGGCTCTCCACTATTACCTATTTGTAGATCTAAATAAATTTTATCTTTTTGTTATCTTTCCTAAATCTTATTTTGTTATCCATTTATTCAAGCTCCCTAGGTTGGTCATACATTGCTTTCCTCTGTCTCTCTTGCCTTCAGTCTGTCCTGTGAGTATCAAATTTTCCAAGTTCCCTTCCCTCATTATGTGCCCTAAAAATTTCAGCTGTCACTTTTTGCTGTTTAGTATAAGTGTTGTCATTTTCTCTAAAACTTCTTTGTTGCTCACATGTTCGTTCCATGGTATTCTCAGTATCCATCTGTAGAACCACATTTCTGTTGCTTCAAGTCTCTTTTTTTATCTTGTCCAGCATTCCCTACCATATAGGAGGACTGATATTACATAACAGTTCAGTACTCTTTTCATTGTTTCTAACAAAATTTTTCTTTGCTTAGCTTTTAGAAGGTATCTTTTGCTATCCCAATGTGCCTTTGGATTTCAGTGTCATACTTTCTGTCCTTTGTTGAAACACTTCCCAGATATTTAAATCATTGTACTTGTTTGATTTTGGTATCTCCAATTTGTAATTTGCATGTTATACTGTTCCTTTAGCTAAGAACAATACATTCTGTATGCTGAATCCAAATTCATCAGTAATACTTACATTAATTCCTGACCCTTGACAATCCCTTTCTTCCTGATTTTACATGCATTTTGATATTAAAATCATTAGCAATGCATTTACACTTTATATATATAATAGGTCTATTTTATCAGTAATGCTTGCCTTAATTCCTGACCCTTGACAATCCTCTTTTTCATAATTTCCATTACATTTCTATAGTAAAACTTATTAGTCATTGATTTCCATTACACATACTAAAGCTCAGTTCAATCTGGAATGCTTGCATTAATTCCTGAATATTAATAATCTCTTTCTGATTTTCATTGGCTTTACAATAATTTTTGACCACAGATAATCCCATTGTTCCTGATTCTCAAGACATTCATGAAGTAAAAGCACTAGCAATGTATTTACATAATAGTCCGATTCTGTAACATTTGTCATGACTGATCACATTTTTCTACATAATTATTATTAGATTTAGAAGACAAAACCTTTTTATTATTAATTTTTAAATCGATTTTCTTTGTCTTAGTGTTGTATTTTAAGAATGATTTTCTCAATTGAATACCCTCCAACTATTAATCCTTTCCCCAGCATAGATGTGCTTATAAGTTTTTACCAAAAGTATCTTTTTCAGACATGGTCAAATAGACGCATCCAAAAACCAGCTACAGATGTGTTCATATATTGATCTTGAATCTTTATATGCCCTTCTGTGCTTGAGACATGTCCAATTGTCAACTGGTTAGCCACTCAGGTGCCTCAGTTTCTTAGTTACTATATTAAAAACGAATAAAATCTATTCATCTGAAAATTAAACATTTTTCCCAAAATAATTGGAAGGGTTTAATATAAGTAGCGTGAAGTCAGAATAACATTATAGCTTTTGAGAAAGCAAGAACTTGCATCCCATATCGCTGAAGTTTTTCTTCCTTGGGTAACACTGTTACTGATTTCTTTTCTTTTATTTACAGCAGTTACTGAATGTTAATGTTTTATTTACAAAAAAACAAAAATACCTCAATTGTAAGGTGTTTTTTTAAAGAAATGCGGGGTGGTCCCCAAACTTTGTGTCTGCAGTGTATATTTGTTAAAATTTGCTATATTTATAGAAGAGTATAAGAGAGGGTTTATAGATATAAGAAGTGTGGACACAAGAATCAACACTACATGATGACAATCAGTTTCATGCTTCAATGTGATCTTCAGACTAAGATTGCATAGAATTGTGAAACTGACTATCACCATGCAGTATTGATTCCTATATCCACACACACATGCAAAATGAAGAAATCAGGATTGAAGATGAGAATATTTTTGAGCAGATTTTTACTATCTTAGATAAATCGTTTAAGATGATGATCTGAGTGTTATAAGCGAGTGTTCATATAAAAATCTTTGAAAGAAAGAGTCGAATACCATGGATCAGTTTCTCAATTCTTATGAGAAGAATGTCAAAGAGCTAAAAAAAGCAAGTCATCATTTTACCTGAGGTAGTTCTGCCTATGCAACTTATTAACGGTACTGAATTGGATAAAAAAGACAAACAAATTGTTCTTACAGTGGTTGATTATACAAAAAAAGAGGAAATGTATGAAGAAATGAAGAATGCCCTGAGAAAATTCTTTGGGAACCAAGGAATGTCATACAGACAGAGATTGGTTGAGATAGCCATCAAAGAAGAACCTGTGTACACAGCAAATTCAGAGAAAACATATGTTTCTGGAAGTAAAAATAATAGCCAAGGAACAAGATTCAAATGATACAGTCATGGTGGTTCATGGTCAGGATACAGTGGCAGACAGATGTCTAAACTGGATGAAGCACAATTTAGGAATACAGATTTTCAAAGAGGTAGAATATCAGGAGGTGGAGCATACTGAGGAAGAATAAGTACTGCTTACATTTATAGAATCCGCATGATGAAGCAGGTAATTATCTTAAATGCTTGGTGTATAAATCAATTATGCATTTCAAAAAGGATTGTCCACATAGAAGAAGAAATCAAGAAGCAAGTGCTTTTGAAACATCAAAAGTGCAGGAAAATGCTGAAGTTAGCAAAGCTTACAAAGTAGGTGCTTACTCACATGAGAATAAACAGTTAATGCTGCCATTCTAGATAGTGCTTGCAGTAAAACAGTTGCTGGGTATGAATGGAAGGAGATGTATTTGGCTTCATTATCAGAAAGCAAAAGAAAAGAAGTTAAACTTCTACCAGGTGGGACAACATTCAAGTTTGGTGCAGACGGCAAAATACAGTCAGATGAAGGAATGGAGATTCCTTATATTATTGGTGGTCAAAAGACGACCTTAAGAACAAAATAGTCGATAGTGATTGTAATGACAAAAGTAGGCAGATGTCGGCTTTAAGAAAGCTTCATTCAACTGAGAATACAAGGTTCATGTATAGTGTCCTTTTATAGTCCCAGTAAACAGAAATAACTCTCACAAAGAGGAGAGTAGCGAAACAAGGGGAGACCACTCTTGATTATTCATAATAGCGATATTCCCATACTGCTAAGCAAACCAGACATGAAAAGAATGGGATTCAAATTAAACATGGAGAATGACACATTGGAAGTTAATGGAAGATTTCTTGAACTGGATACAACATCATCTCGACATTGCTATATCCCACTGAATGAATGTGAAGTAAAAATTGAGAAAGTGCACATGATGGCTGAACAGAAATCATGCAAGGCAAAGAAGATTATGAGCCATAAACTAGATCATCAGTTTTGCACATCCTTCAGTTAAAATCCTGAAAGTTTTCATAAAAAATGATGATGCAATTGATAAGGATTAGTTTGGTTTATTTTGTTTTACGGCATATCAACCTCAATGGGTTATTTAATACTGACAAATTTTTTATTGCTGGTAAAATTTTGTTTCATAAAAAAGCTGTTTCTGGTAATATTTTTCCTTCAAAATTGTATTGCTGGTAATAATTTATTTTCCAAAAAATATTGTTGGTAATAGTTCACTATTTGCCTATAGCTGGGACCCTAACAGATGCTACCACCCCAGGTCAGGGTGGACCTAGCAACACCAGCAATTAATAGGTGGTTCCAAGCTCCTCAAAATCTTTTGATAAGAGGCCTTGCTGCTGGATGTAGTTTATTGTCTTACCCAGGACATGGATGTAGTTTATCATCATACCCAGGACAGCAATTGATAAAGAATGTGAAAAGGTAATTGAAGATATTAGCAATTCCCAAGTAGGCATCTACATGGATGACACTACAATTTACTCCTGTCTCAAAAACAAATCTAGTGTCGCTGACAAAACTAACCTGGCCGTTTGTCTTGAAAAGGACCTCCAATCAGTTGTGAACTGGGGTAGGAATTAGCTGGTTAACTTTAACGCTTCAAAAACAAAACTGCTTTCTATTAATCACCACAGAGATTCTTCCCTGCCCTCCATTAG